AAATAGGCGGAAAATTGACGGACCACTTATAAAATTAATATATATATATATTAATTTTATAAGTGGTCCGTCTATTTTCGGACATCCGTTCATGACTTGTTTCAAAGATCATACCTAAAAAAAAAAAAAAGATACTTCTACAGGGTTTTTGGCGCGTGCCTAATGATTTAGTTTTGATGGTAACCGATGTCTGCCTTAACTACAGCTTTAGTTCGGGATACAAACAGCTTACTAGTTATTTAACAAAAAATACTATCTCTTAACTCCGAATAATTTTTTAATAGTAATCATAGATGCATACACTGGATCGAGTATTTCTCAAGGACGATTCGTGCAAAAAAATATAGCATAATAAAATTTTAGACGGATAGCAGACTACAAGTCCTTATAGTACAAAGCTTTAAAGTGACCACGGAACCCGAAACGTACAACGGAAGCGAAAAACTCAAGGAAGACAAATTGCAGGAACTTATTTAGAAGGCTCAATTGGCGATACACCTTCCCCTCTTCGAAGCAGCCACTGGTTTCCGCATTAAACATTTGAGATCATTTAAAATTCTATTTTGTGACATTTTGGTAAGTTTTTGAGCCCTGTCAATCTAACCGCTAGTGAAAATTTTCAGCCTTACTTCATGAAAGTCTTTCTCGGATTTTCAGTAGTTGCATACAAATTGGCAGTAGGCAGGACCGTCGTTTTCGGATAAAAAAAAAATCGAATTTTTTTAATAGTGTGGGCTACAGCGCCCTCGCTTCCATCAGTACAACATGAACGTGCATATGGAAACGCTCCGAAAGGCACCCTTTTCTATCACTGATTTACGTACGTAGTTCTAAGTAACCGTGTGGAAAAAGTTCGCACTCGCGTTGTGGTCGTGAACGTTCCAGAAATCTATTAAAGATGAATAACTAATATACTAGCCACGCGCAAGTACGAAAATGATCAATTAGAGCTACCGGGTGTAATGGCATTTCTGTGTCATCGTCATTAACCACTGACATAGTAGAATAACAATTTCTGCTGGTCGGAAGAGGCCATCCACTTCCGCTTGGCCTGTTTTCATCACTCAGTCTTCCACTTTAACCTCCCTTGGAATTAGTTTTAACATTAACCTCTGTCCTGCGAGATCAGAGTCAGTCACGTTTGTACTCGTTCGGGTTAGTTCAGGCCCCTAGCTTCGGTTCACTCTGTCACGTCCCGTTTGATTAGTGATTCCTCGTCAGTATGCAGAGAGGAAGTGACAAGCGAGCCTGGCTATAATAATAATTGAAGCGGCATGACGGCACACCTCATTACCAGGAATTGTTCGGCCTAAACGCATGTCACGGATGCAACAAAACAGGTACCAGAGATTGCGGCTGCTGCCGACTGATACGTGGCAGCAGGTGGCAGGATCGAAGAAAGGAGAGAGAGGGAGAGTGCAAAAATGTATTTTTCGCCCATAACAAAGTCCATTTGCTCACCATACACTCTACGTCTAGCGACAGGCCTTTATAATCATGATTGTTGTTGTCGATGTCGTTTTTTAACTAGATAACCAAATTTCGAACAAGGAGATGTTGGTAGAACTTCTTTGAAACTTTGCGGCAAGTCGAACAGAGGCGGATGGTAGCCCGGACGACAGCCAGTTGACGCGATTATCTTTGTTCGTTGTGTTGAAACTAGCGTTGAGTGGTTTCTATGTGCCACAGCAGTGTAGTACTTCATTGCCAATTGAAGACAACATTGGGAAGGCAGCATATGATGACCCGCCTACATGCACATATGTTTCTCAATATCGAATTTATTCTTTAGAGAAAATAAAGCTTCTCTTATGTTGAAGAGATTCATTACTGTTTCCAAAAAAATGAAAAGGTAGCCTAGAAGCGACGTCATAGTTGACCTTTGCAAGGTTACATAAATTTGTTCTTCGTAAGTGGTTTATCTCCGGACGAAATTACTGATTTTATATCATTTGCTGCTGCGTCCTTCTTTTTAGTTTGGTACTACTGACATCCAACTAGAAAGCTTTGCTCTTTAGGACAAGCTAACTATGATCCTTGTATATTCGTGTTGGGAAGACTTATCAGCATTCTGAAGCAATGTTTAACTGCTCAAACAGTGGACGCAAAGCTCGAAACATTTTGATGTTTACGGACCGTTGAAGCGGTGATTGGAACCGCGTATGCTATCAGTTCTTCCTGTGC